AAGGTAGCAGCAGAACTCAATTATACACATTTTCTTTCTCAACAGTAGAATGATAAAGAATGTTCCTTCCTCCAAGGCTAGTCAGCTGTAACTACAGCATTTAAATTAAAAATGATCTGTCTGACCCATGTATGCTTTTCTTTGTTTCAGAATGTTTTAGAATGATGCATAAACAATATGAAATAAAATTGGCACAGTAAGGCATTAAACATTCAGACACAACACCATCTAATTGTAATGTAATCTCTAATGACAGGTCAGCCATAGAGTTTCCAGGGTCACTTCTTTTCATCCAATATCAAAGGCAAGCATGTTCAGTGAAAAACCAAAGCAAGTGCAGAAGTTACCAAAATAATAATAGATGGCTAAATTCGAAAAAGAGAAGGTCCATGCTTGCCAGTAGAACATGTTGATGTTATTTTTTAATGAGTGATAACTGCTACGTGCAAATGGCTTTTGAAGCTTCTCTCCTCCTTTTCAAGAACCGGTCATCAGCATCTCAAAAACCTGCATCCTGGAATTTGACACTCACTCAAAACCAAATGCAAATTGGATGTGGAATTTGAAGGATTTTTTTAATGAAACAGTACAAATAGGTCTCAAAGGCTTAGTTGCATTCCAGGGATTCAATAGTCATATATTCTTGTTTTGACATTGTGGCTCTCTCCGCTCTCAGAATCTCAAGTTCTGTTCTTCATTTACTACCCTGATTTACATCTTGGCTTCTGTTTGTTTTTGGTCCTTTCCTAGCTCCGGAAGTTGAACGATTTCTGTGTGTGCTCCTGATATTTCTTCACTGCAAAACTGCGGTAGTAAGTACAATTTTGGACAAAATATACACATTAGGAGGGAAATTTAGAAAAGAAATCTTACATGGACAAAAATGTTACTCCTGCTTCAAGCCCATGTTTACATGTTACTCACACTAGCCTTACACAATCTCAGTTCTCTGCAATATAGATGAAAAGCACAGAATAATCACTAGAGTTGTGTAGATTCAAAAGGGGAAAGTTGCCTCAGAGTGCACATGGGTGTTATGGCATCTTCGAACTCTGATTCAGATACTGAAGAAGTAGACTTCATGAGCTGTCAACCTGGAAAGCCAGTAGGTGATGGAGGAGCTCCCAGATATAATGAACCATGGTAGATGGGGAATGACTCAGATAATGAGAGGGAAGATTCTGATAAGATGCCAAACACAAGAACACACTGGGAGTTAAGGAGGCCAGAATAGAGGTGGTCAGCATGGCTCCTCAAAGAAGGCAGCAATTCCCCTAAGCCATGCCTATATAAGAGCAACTTTCATACTTTCTCCACTTGACAAAAATGATTCTCCTGCTTCAAACCCATGTTTCCATGGTGTCCTGCTCTCTCTAGCTCCTTGTCCTGTGTTCAGTTCCTGGACCAGCCTGTGGAACTCCCTTTGGCATGAGACCTTTGGACTACTCCAGACTGTTCTCATGTCTTTGCTTCTGAATTCCTCATGCTAGAAGCTTGCAAATTGCTAAAGTTATAAGGTAAGTAAAAACTCTTTGTACTCTCCAGAGCCATAATTGCTTTCTATCTAAATACAGTACTTGCATTATCATTAGCAGTCCCTTGATGTGTTAAAGCACATTTCCCTGTTCAAATCTGAAGTACTGTAGAGCCATAATGAGCGTGTGTCTTTGTGTATATGTTGTGCTTCAGATTTGAATGGAAAGATGTGATTTGGAACATGTATGGTTGCACGCTAAATGTCTCTTAGAAACACCTTAAACCAAATGGGTCTTTTCCCAGGATCTCACTAGAACTGTGAACAACAGACCTGTGATACCAAGAAATGACCCAGCTGGTTTAAAGCATTTCTGACAGATGCTATGTGCATGTTGAATCACACATCTCTCTTTGAATGAAAATCAAACAAAAAGAAACTTGAATTTTTTATAGGATTGCACACAGAAAATGGAGCAAAAAAGTACCTCCTTTCTTTTTTTCTTAGGGTTACAAAATAAACTCCAAATTTACTTTGAATGCCTATGGGGTTATAATAACCAAATTCCTTCCAATCTGACTTTGGCATGATTTTTTTTTAATTTCTTGATCAATTGCCCAGGATGCACCACCCTGTCTTGATGAAGGATGTTCTAGAAATGTTTTTGATGCATAATATGCATTAAGATCAGCTTTTAAAGTGTTGATATTTATCTATTAATTCTGACTCATAGATAAATGACTTTTAGTCTCTTGGCATACACTATAAGGCAAAAGGAAAATGGTATGGATTAAACACACATTTATTTCCATGAAGACATATGCAAAATTGCATTGTGAAACTGCATTTACAGATATTGGGCACTTCTTCAGCAAATCAGTTCCACTTCCCAATGCCTCACACTGAAACTGACCTGCATTCATCTTTGCATCTCCCAACCTTAAATGGTTGAGAACATGCAGGGAACACCATGATGAAATTAATGCTCTCCTTCAGATAATCAATCAAAGCATGCAAACTGTGTTATCCAATCAGTTCTCCGTGTACCCAAAATGCTAAAAAGGGAGTTGCTAGTGTTCCCCTTCCACATTTTTGGGAAGGAAAGAAGAAAGAAATTAAGTAGTTGCTATGAGAGAAAGGTTTCCAGCTGAAAAGCTTCTTGTAAGCTGTGATGATGAAATGACAGCATGCTCATATTTTCTTGAAATTTCTAGCATAGTTGCATCCTTCCATGATGAGTGGATGGAGAAAATGGGAAAATACTGAGCATTGTTCATAGACAGTCACCAACATAGGTATTAGGGGAGTAGGGAGTGATGAAATTTGTGTCTCAAATCAAACTCTGTGATTTACAGTATATACTGGCATCCAATATCAAGATGTTAGTATAAAAGGCTAGAGTTTGCAGTCTGATGTTATAATAGACATTCCATCATTTTTCATCACTGCAATTAGCAGCAGATGCCTTTATCAACATGACCAGTGTGCTGAATTTCTGGATTAAGAGGCAGAGTTCTTACCAGTGGGAAAATAATTCATGTATCAACTTTGCTGTCCCAATGCAAAAGAAAATATATTTTCTTGGTTTCAAATAAACTGTGAAACATTTCTTGTGTTTGATGCCATTATGGGAGTACTGGTTTGGAGCTGATTCTGACTTGACTCAATGGATCCATGTAAAAATCCCATTAACTTGTATTAATATTGTTGATTGCTTTGCTCCTTCAATACTGATCTTTCCTTAGTTTCATCTATTAAACTCATTTAAAAAAAAACAATGTTTAATTAGTGGTGATTATTCCGTTTTGCAAATAATCTTCTGGAGATTTGCAAGTTGAAAGAAGGGAGATAGTAAGAATAAAGGAAGGGGAAGAAAACAGGTGAAATTTGTGAAACAGATGTCAGACAAAGGTAAGTTAATACAATTAAAAAAATAAAAAAACATTCCTTTGTGTATTCTAATTCTGGTTCTGAACCTTGTGTTAACTATTCAGTTAAAGCAAAGTAAGCTTATATTTTCCTGGCCTCAGGCAACTTGTACCAGAAGCCCATTTGTAGCAAATCACATTATATGAAAAGCTGTCAGATCTTATGATAAATTGATACTCTGCTTCCCCAATTCCCTGCAACAGTGAAAAATCCACTTCTAGATGGCATTTAAATGTCACTGGTCAAGAGAAAAGAAAAGATAATTGTATTTTCTTTTTAACTTTATTGATTTAGAGCTAACCAAGATCTACTAGTTTTATTAGTTATCTCTTAAAATGTGAGTTTATTTGTAAGCGATAGCCTCTTTGCTGCAAACAAACACTAGATGTAGATCCACATCTGAGTCAAAGTTAAGTGTCACACTAATTTCAGTGTATTCATAGTATTTTTACAAAGAGGAGTAACATTTTACAAAGAAATTTTACAAAGAGGGGTATTTTTATTCTCCTCTTCAGTCATTAATGCTGTTAGACTGGCTTTTAAAAAATCAGTAACTAGACTGGGATGAATAACCTTTCTTTAGTTGAAGGCCTTGGGAGCAGGACTATGTCTGACAATGGAACAAATTATCTTGAGAGGTATCCCTTCATTGGATGTAGCCAAATAGAGGCTGGAGAGCCATTTGGATTTCTGCACTGAATGGATGGTTGAACTTGATTACCTAAATGGCCCCTTCCAAATTCTATGATTCCATACTCCTGTGATGGGTGGATAGGCTTAAGCAAACAGTGTGTGGGGATGGAGCCCACGGTCTCTAAATCTGAGTCATTTTGCTGCCTGAGATGAAGATCAAGATGTTTTACTCTTCCATTCCATGTTCAAGATATGACTGGATTAGCAGTAGAATCTTTCTTCAAGATTTGATGGAACAAGAGTCCACACACCACTTCTAAAAGTAGCAAAAAAGTTTGGAGAGTACAGGGCAAATTATCTGGCTTACAGCTTTCTCATTCAACAACTTGCTTAGGGCTACCAGATGAGGGCAGCAAAAACTCCCAATGACCACTAGATGGCAGCAAAGTGACACTGATGATACTTAATCTTATGCCAATGGATGATCTTACTCAGCAGTTTTGTGTAGATGTTGAACAGGAGCAGAGAGATTATACAGCCCTGAGGGATCTCATAAGTAAGACTAGAATCAGCAATGGAGGAAGGAAGAGAACCATCTCAACACTCTGCCCCCCACCCCACCCTTGAAGTTAGCCCAGAAGGATGCTATGATTAATGGTATCAAGGCCACTGAGAGACCAAGGACAGCTATAATGGGTGCACCACGCCAGTCCAGGTTTCATCAGAGATTATTAACAAGCATGATCAGTGCCATCTCAGTACAGTATCCTAGTCTGAAATCTGACTGAAGAGGATCCAGATAATCTGTTTCTTCCAGGGCCATTTGAAGTAGCAATTCAACCACCTTTTCAACTTATTCCCCAAAAAGGGAAGATTGGAGACTGGATGAAAATTGGCCAACACCCGATAGACAAATGAAAGTTCTTTAGACTAATCAGATTATCAACATTGCGTATTTACTGAATGAAAAAATTGATTATGCAAAACAAAATTATTTTACAAGTCTAATGTACACTAAACCAATAACAATGACATACTACAAAACAAGTAAATTTCTCAAATAAAAGTAAACGCAACTATGTCTTATGCACAAGATAAAAACACTTAATAACCAACAAATATTAATGTTACAAATAGTAATGAAAGTGCTTAGTTCTTAAATATTGTTCTAGCTTTAAACAGCTGAAACATATCTAGCTCTTTTTGTACGTCTAAAGTTTTGTGGTATATCTCTCAATGCACGCCTATCTAGAGAAATTCTTGCCATCTTAAGATTGCCAACATTTCCATTTTACGTAGATCAGCTATGTATTTATTAATACCTTGGTAGGCACACTTTATTGGCAATGACAAGTTGAAAACTTGACTAAGTAAAAAGAACAAGCATAGGCCAGACTTATTTTTCTGATTACAGGCCAATTTTAATTCTTTGTTTTCATGTAACTTTTTAGAACATGTTCAAAAACAAGTCCAAATAGCAGACTTAAACTGCTGAAATTTCCTAGACAAACTCGGTGTTGAAAAAGTAGCTTCAGTAGCTTTAAATGAAGCACAGGTGTTCACTTGTAAGAAATTAAAGCAGAAAGCCATATGTTCTTTGCATGGGGGCTTTATTTTAATTCACTGACATCACAGTAATGACTACCATAAAGTATTCTCTTAAAATCTCTGGAGTTTAAAATCTTATTACATATGGATAGGATGATAATGAATAGAGCTACCATATCTGAGCTGCAAACATCCAGGCAGCTACTAGATGGCAGTAAAGAGGTTTCCTGTCTCTGCTGTTACTGTCATTTTGTGGCCATCCACCTCAGGATTCAGGTCTGGTGGCCTATGATGAAGTCACAAACTCTTTAAAAAAAAAAAAAAGTACTGTAATTCTGTATGGCAATTTATTACTGGCAATTATTTCAAGTCTAAGGTCACAATGGAAAAAGAAGCTTTGGAACAGTATAGTAAACAAGTTAACTTCTTTTCTTTTTTTTATGTGCCATTACACAATTCAGAAAGTAGGCAATAGCTTTGCCTGAGACTAGCATTCAAAAAGATATAGGAGGGAAATATATTTTAGGAAGTGGGATAACTTAAGGTTTCCAGCAATACAATTGCAATAGTGATCATGAAGTTCATGCATATCCTATCAGGCTACCTAAACAATCAATGGAGAGCCACTGTAAAATGTGTAAAAAACTGGGGGGGGGGGATCTGTAAAATATGCTACTGCTGTATATCTGCTGTATTTGCAAATCTTTCATCCCATCTGAGAATGTAGTTAAGTTGTTGAACTGCAAATAGGGTGATCTAGATTCAGGTCCACATTCCATGGAGTTCAGCGGGTGACTTTAGGCTAATTATAATGTGTCAGACAGATGTAACTCACAAGGTGGTGTAGATGCAATAACCGATCCATGTAACTATCTTGAACTCCAAGATGAAAGATGGGATCTACAATAGATGTAATGAATTTAGGAAATAGGTTTACTTTTCTGGCAATGAACTGTGCAGAGTAGAACTGAGTAAACATGCAAAGAATTGCACAGTTAATTACACCTTGATTCTAATACAGTACTTCCCCAGTAGATCACAGGGCTCAAATGACTATCACTGAAGAGACGATATTAAAGAATCAGAATGTTTATTATTTGGTCTGAAAAAAAAATCCATTACAACCCATGCCTTAACGCCTAAACTTTTCTACTATTTTCATATAAGAAACATTTTGTAAAGTAAACACAGCCATGGTTACACATGATTGCAACTATCATATGCCTACCCAGTCATTTAAATCTTCCATTATGCATCAACATTTGTTATTATTGATAGCTTATTCTTTTCTTCTTAAAAAGAGCTTATGTTGCTATTGTATATTGAGGATGGTTTTTAATTCTTCTGGCAGAAGTAAGTCTTAAGAGTTCCTGCTTGTAGAAATTCCACTGTTCATATTTGGACACTAAGCGATACTTTTGTAGTATAGCAAGGAACAGTCTCTGTTAAGACAAAGCATAAATATACCACATTAACTGGTAATTTTGTGGATGGGGTACCTTTTTGAAAATAATTAGGCAGATATTAAAACCAACTTTCTAATATAGCTAAAAGAATCTCTTTTGTTCGAAACGAACATTCTTATCAAGAATCATTCCACTGAAATGTATGCATCATTTTAAATAGAACAAATTAATCCCATTATCTTTAATACTATTCTTCATATAAATACAACTGGTGTTCATAGGAAACAATATCTGCTGAACAAAAGGGAGATGCTTCTGAGTCTCTAATGGATGCATGGAATTCAGTGTAGCCAAATATAAGATAGGTTAGAAATACATGCAACAAGACATGATATGGGAAAATGTTAAAGAAGGCTCCGGGAGACAAATAACATTGCATCTATGAAAGACCTGAATAATTCCCCCAATTATTTTTTAATGAATTAATAAAATGTCCCAATCTTGTGAGATCACCAAATTTGGTGAGATCACCAAATCTAGAAATTTCAGCATTTTCTCATCCGAAATGACTGCCAAATTCTGGCTTGGGCTAAGGCCTGAGAAATGCATCAAAAAAGGGCTATGTATGATTCATCTTGGTATGGCCCAAGCCATCTTCTGCTCTGTCCTGCATACCAGACAGGTTCTCCAGTGCCCTCAAATAAGCCTCTCTCTGCTCCTTATGTCCTACTGGCATCTCCAGAAGGTCAAGAAGCTCACAAAGTGAGTTCCTTCACAGGTATTGACTTCCAGTCACAAGGCAATCCTGCTGCTGCTGCCAAAGAACTAAATAGGCTCTGCGTCTGCTGTATTGTAGCTTTCTTTTTGCTTTTTGTCCCTCACCCAGGCTGCAGTTGCTGAATTCAAGGTTGGAATTTATGACATGAGCCAATTATTGGTACAAGAGAAAGACAGGAACTGTTTGGAGTAGCTCTGGATGGGTCCTTTAGGCTATCAGGTTTATCTCAGTGCTTGATGCAGGAAGTCAAGCATCTTCAACAAACTTCAATCAAGGGAAAATGTATCACTTCTGTATCACTTTAAGCTTAGTTTCCCAAGTTTTCAAATCAAAAAAGGTATGCATGATACCCAGCCCTAGCCAGGTTTCATGGAATACCAGCTTCTCTTCTGGGGACTTTCAGAAGTATATTATAATATGAGAAACAAGCCAAGGTGGATTAGAATGGCCCTAGAAAACATCCCATTGGAGGAAATTATAATCTTGATTATGTATATATTAAATGTACTCAGACAGGACAGAACATGAAACAATGAGCTTTAATTACTGAAAACTGAATATAGGTTAGAATTCAGGAAAAGCTTCTTACCCATATAAGCAGATAGATAATGAAAGCTTTGGATGAAGAACCTATTGCCCAAAGAAGGTAACTACATCTTAAATATACAATCTCATGAATAATATTTTCCTATTTCTATGCCTCAGTCATATGATCATTGTGGTCTTTTTGACTTGCCTGCCCATATCACTTGAACAGTTCCAAGTTAGCAAGACTTGCCTGGCAAGTGGCCAGGCATATAAATTAAACCAATCATGTTTAGAAACAGTGTCTATCAGGCACTTCCCACTCCCTCACTCTCTTCCCACAGGGTAGAGCAAGCAGGACCCCTTTTCTGGACCCAAAGCAGGAGGGAAAACTACAGCAGTCTCAGGGAGGTTACTCTTCTGAACACTGTCTCATTGGGAAGGTTGAAGCAGGGATGGGCTGACTTTTCTGATGCAAAGGATGCACAAAAAAAGTAAACCAAGTGCAGATGGTGATGGGCAGAGCTAGTGTCAAAAACAGACAAAATTAACAAATTGTACCACTATATAATATTCCCTTGTCTCTGAGCTGCTCCATTCCCCTCTCTCTTTTGTCCTATTCCTATTCCCCACTCTTTCTGTCTGTATTTCATTACAATCCATATCCTCCTCCCCGTCTCATCCCTTTTGTATTTCACCCCCACTGAAATCAGCCCATGGGCCACCTGGCATGAAGGTTCCTCACCTACCCAAGTTAAAGTAACTGGTGCCATCTCTGGGTCGGGCATTCACTTGTGCATGTGTAGTTTCAGTGTCTATTTCTTAGATGGGTTCACATATTGTACAAATCCATGGTTTATTGAATTAAATACAATAAGATGAATGTGTGCAACATACTAAGCCACAATTTACTGACCACAGTGCCTCTGATCACTCAACAAGTTTCGCTAAAAACAAGCCAATTGCTCAATGCAAACTGAAGCAGACCACTGTCAGTCATCAGGCAAATTGAGACCTTAGTTGTGGCAGCATGTCATTATCTTGTTAATAGGTTGAAGGAACATTCCCCATTTCTGTTCAGATCTTTTTAGGTTTCTGTACTTTGACTAGTTTCATTGAACAACAACAACAAAAAGTCTGTAATGTGCTGTTCCTGATAGCTCCTGGCCTGACACTCACAATTATATACATAACCTTCCTGATCATTATCCAAAAAGGTTCTGCCTCAGACCATCTCTTTGTAATCCATCTGTCAGCTCCTTCCCTCAATGGCTCCCAGCTGGAGTAATTATTTACTTTCATGTTGTATAAATGGTCTGTTTGCTATAAAAATGACAATGATTTGTAAGCGCTTACGGCACTGTTTGACCACATGAGAATAAAAACAAATATCTGAACATTTGTGGTCTTTGCAACTTCTGACATAACAAAGCAAAATGTGGAGTTACGCCTGCATCAACCAATTTACAAGGCCATCCTGATTAAAAAATGAATAGGCTGGAGAAAGTTAGGGTGATACAAAATCAACTACTGGTAAAAGGGGACAGGGGGAATCTCTTCTGCTGGAAGAAACCTGCTTCTGCTGGATGACCCCAAATCTGAGATCATGCTAAGGTGGCAACCCACTGGCTACAGTATATATGGTTAAATATGGCCCCTCAGCCCAAGAGTAATCTATGACTGTGCTGCCAAATTTAGGTGCTGCAATTTTCCCACTTTCTTCCCTGAAAGGTACATGAAGGTATATGAAGCTTCCAAAAAGCTTATCACACCTAGTTTGCACTCCCACAAAAAGGGAGTGGACTCCCTACTGACATCACTAAACATCTCCCCCACAACCCTTGGATGATACTGACAATGACTGTAATGATGATAATACAGCACTTTGGTGGGAAATGTTGCCTGCCCCAGTAGGCAAGATATGCTGGGAGAGATGCTTTTTAGAGAGATGGGCTGGAGAATGCATGGAACAAGTGAGGAGCATAAATGCACCACATCAAAATCCAACTCCTTTTCCCACTTTGTACACCAGCTATATACCTACAACGCTAATGCAGAGTTGGCTAGACTGAGGGCAATCCTGATTTCCCACACATCAAACGCAATGGAGACCTCACAATAAAACAATTCAGCAAAGCTGCTTATGCTTTGCTTATTCCCTCTCCATCAACAAATGCCAGAATCCAGGGCCCAATTTTGTTTTTTTCTTCCAATTGCAGCTGTTTTTATAGTATGGGTGTTGCTTTTGAAATTCCACTAACATTCAATCCCTCTTTCTCTCTCCCTCCCTCCGTCTCTCTCTCTTTCTTCACATGACTTGCATGCTTTAATGGAGAGAGGAGTTTAAAAGCACCAGTACATTTGTAAAAGGTCTTAAACAGCTTTTTGGCTCCAAGCTATAACACGTAATTATTTGCAAGTTGGATTGTCTATTACAAGACTCAGTACATGATTCAGTAATACAACCGTCCTTCCTGGAAATTGTTCTAAGCATAAAGTTTTCTGATATTACATTTAGCCACCAAGAATGACTTGAAGGAGTTAAAATATAGTGTGGAGGTTAGGCCATGGGAGACATAGCTATTGAACTAAAACTGTTACGCAGTTTTGAAATTTTCAGCAATCAGTGAAGATGAGGAAGAAGTTGAGATTGCTGGTTTATTCCCAGTGCTTAACAATAACTGTGAATATTGTTTGATACGTGAAATAATGTTCTATAATAAAAAGCAATAGGGATTCTGCAAAAAATGTCAGGGGTTAAGATTTCATAAGGAAATAAACATTCTTGGGAAAAGACTAATTCAACTTTCTGTCTTCATGGCTCCTGTCAGCATCAATCAATAGGCCATTCTATTTACAGAATATTTCCATTTTGTTGGATCTGCACTTTTGATTTCAAAAGAAATCTGGCACATAAGAGTTACCTGAGGAATGCTCTCTGGACACATTTTTCCATTAATGAAACATGTTAACCTCTTTAACTTTCTGTATGTTGTGCTGTTATTAAAGGCATAACGGAAAAAGGAGGACCAACATTTTATTTTGGATTGCATGATTTTCAGAAGAAGCCAATGGGCAAAGAGAAGGGCAAATGTAAAATGTTGGAAACCATCACTCGTGTGAAGTTATTTAATAATCATTCTGTAATTGTTGGCAGATATAGAAATAAAATGGTCTGCCAAGAATTAAGCAAGAGGAGAGCATCTGCTTTACTATGAAGAAGCAAGCTGAAAGCTGGAGAGAAAGCTGCTAAAATTGCCCTCATCTTCCTTTCTCAGATGCTTTCTGCACTTTTCTAGAATAACAGTTAGAAGCTTTAAAAAAAAAAAATAGAAAAACTGACATTGCTACACCGACTTCCAGCACTATTATTTTATTTTTTCACTGACGTTTTTTAAACAGAGGCTGTTTTGGGGCTGTAGCTGAAAAATTCCTAGATTCAGCAGAGGGCTGGACTGAGGCTACATACTCTCCCTCCCCCAATGCTTAGTTTTCTCTACCACGTTCCAGGTTCCACATGAAATGTTTTACATGGAAGCAATGGGCATAAACAATTCAATATTTTCCAGATGTGTCCAGAAAATCAGTTAGAATGAAAAGGAAATTAGCCTGGAGTTTCATTAAATGCATCCGTACCTCTCTCTTGTACATCTATAATGTAGGCTTTCATAAATTCTTTTTCAAACAGCTCACGATCACGGTCACTTTCTGTTATTTCTTGAATCTCCTGAAATGAGGTTGTTTCAAGAGGGTTATCCTTGAGGCTTATAAATCTGCAAGGGGATGACATATTACCATGAACGGGTTATATAATGCTTCTTATCGTGAGCAGATTGTTGCTTGCTATATGCTACATGATTTCTAGCCCTATAAATTTTCTGTTCTTCCTACTTTGTTACAGAGCAAAATCAATTTATCTGTGAACAAAACTTTGCTATACTGTTCATTGTTTCTAATACTAATTATCTATTAGAAATGTAAATTGAGAAGTGGCCTTCCTGGAGGCAGGCCTGGAAAACACTAAAAGTGTAAGCTTAATTATCAAATCAAAAAGGATCCCCATGTGTCTTGACGCAGGGAAGCTGCTTGTGTCACATCTTAGTCCACGAATATTACTTTGTATGACATTTTTTTAAAAAATACACACAGAAAAAAATTGTTCAATTTGTAGCAGGAGATTAGGAGCAATGGAATGCCCAGAATCTCATTTAAGTATTGTAAACAATGAGCTCTGATCCTCCTTATCCAGTTTTGTGGAATATTTATTCTTAAAGACTTTTGGGATTCTTCTGAGAACAGGACTGGCTTCAGAGGCAGAGGCCTAGGACCATATGTCAGTATGGACTGAGTGGTCTTTTTATTTAGGAAAAATTTATTATGCAGTTAATCAGGCTCACACAGATTTTACTTTATTGGCAAATACAATTATGATGCATAATTGCACTCCAAACCACAAATGTAAATAATTGCTGTTACATGCTAAATATTTATCTTCGCCTACCTCCTTCTTGCATATGAAATAGCTACTACATTTGATATTGTGGTGCCTGTTCTGGAATTAAGAACCAGGACAATCACTGGAGTGATCAACAAGCCACCATGGGCCATATGCTTATTCTGTTATATGTTTAAGCTGCATGGCATTAACTAATTAAACTACTGTAGCCTCTCATGCTATCTATGGGTAGACTTGCAATCCAGGAAAAAAAAAACAAGGCTGTCATTTGGATCAATAAAATTGCAAGCCAGCATTTCCGAGCTGGTGACTTTCAGATGTGTTGGGTTTTATTGCAACTTTGTGGAATAACATTACATGATGTCTTTTACTCAAGATTCACCTACTTCAGAATCCAAACAAATAGCAAGACAAAACTCAAAGGAAGTGAATGTGTCAGAATATTATTGACTTACTTTAAGCCTGTGGAAGAGTCACAGATCGCTGTGGGCATCTGAACTAAATCATCACCACTCACAACCAATAAACTGAGTTTTGGCAAGTTGACCAATGCGTGTGGAAGGTAGGTCAGCTTGTTCTTCTGCAGAAGAAGAGTTTGTAATTTTTCTAACCTTAGAAAAGTAACAAAATAGCAAAATTAAATGTGCAGTATAAAGGAGCTGACAATTTTCTATTGCATATTTATACGGTATACACATATAAACATATTGTTTAATACCTGTATTACAACATCTATTAATAACTGATATATTTATAATCATAAAATAATATGTGCAAAGCCAACAAAATAATTGCCTGGTGTGAAAAGTGTCGTCTGTTTGGTGTTCTCTTCTATCCTAGGTTACAAGTCAGAATGGCTTTATCTCGTGTTTGATCTCACATTGGTGGCAGCAGAAACACTGTTAACATGCACATCTTTTGAAAGGAAGAGACAATGGACACCATGACATGGCCTCTTAATCCATTATGTCTTCAGGCCTTCTAATTTATGCACAACAATTTATGTGGTACCTAGGAGATTATGCTACATGAAACTCCAGCGTTTCCAAAAGATAAGTCACCCAAAAAGCTGGTTTTTCTAGTGCCATTGCCTTTCGTTTTGGACTTTTTTCATGAATATGAAATTCAAATGAAGGGAATGAGGCAATTAATTAAAAGACTGATGAATGTCAGCTTACCTGATCATTTCTTTTGGGGTTGCAGAAGTGGGATTGTGAAAAACGAGTCTTGTTCATGCTTTTTTCTATTATAAAAAGGAATTTTTCCCAATTTTCAAATTTAAAAGTGTGCTTAGATACTGCTGTGTGAGTTGGGGAGGGGAGTATAGGTGCAAGCACACATAAATACACAAACCCAGTGTGATTTCTTTAAATCCAAACATATGGGTTGGGAAGGGCCAACTTCTGAATCCTATGGGCATATAATGTTATCATCAGAGTCCTTTGGCTGTCTTCTGTACCTTATTGTCTTGAAAATACAGCTTTAGTTCTAAGTAAATTGCACAGTTTGGTGAGGACACTTAGTGAGGACACTTCCATATCACCGGTTTGCATCACTTTCTTCAGGATCAGTTCCCAATCTGATTGATCTCATAGCATCTATTTTCAGAAGCTGAGTCAATTTACTTCTGACTTTGCACTAGTTTATTGGAAACTGCCACAAAGCTGGTATTTTCTTTTGACAGATATAGATCTACAGATTTTATAGTCTATTTTCCAGTGACTCATTCTGCATCCTGCTCCAAATCTCAAGCTTGTCATTATTCTCTCTCTCCATGCCCCTGTCCTTCTAGGTCAGTGTTGTCCAAACTTGGCCACTTTAAGATGAGTGGACTTCAACCCCCAAAATCCCCCCCCCAGCAATTCTGGGAGTTGAAGTCCACTCATCTTAAAGTGGCCAAGTTTGGACAACACTGACCTAGAAGGACAGGGGCATGGAGAGAGAGAATAATGACAAGCTTGAGATTTGGAGCAGGATGCAGAATGAGTCACTGGAAAATAGACTATAAAATCTGTAGATCTATATCTGTCAAAAGAAAATACCAGCTTTGCGGCAGTTT